ATGCCCTTTGCCGGCTTGATGTGCAGAAGACTCTCAAGTTAAGTAGGACTGATATTTGGGACATGAGCATCCAGACACACTGCATATAAATACTATTATCTTTGAAAGACTCTTCTGGGGCTTCGTTTAAGGGATCTCGCCAGCACATAGTTGTACTCCGTGATTGGCATTGGTACTGGTATGTAATACGGCATAGGAAAAACTCCCTTTTGTAAAACCCAATAATACACCCGTCAACCTAGTACCAGCAAAACTGATAAGAAACTATCAAAAACGATAAAACGATAATCACAATAAGAAGAAAACTCAGAATGACCTCAGTTGGCACCTCTCCTAGCCCAAAGCGTCTGCCTAACGAGTCAATGACAATCGGCCGTGGAGTTGCCCTATACCTTTTAGAGTAATTGGGGGAGCTACTCTTCATGTTTCATGTCTATCGAAGCGACTCCGTCGTTTGTTGTGCGAGGAATTGGCCCACCATTCTAGTTGGCCAATGTTAGGGATGGTATTCGTTCGTTGGAAGTCTAGAGGTTAGCCCTGGTTAGGTGTCAGGCTCCGTATTTTGATACCCGGACTGAGTGCCGAGAGTAGTATATTTTGGTCCACAATGTCTCTGTGCCCTAGTGGAAGTGGATTCTACGAGCGTTCTCTTCCCCTGGGTACATCTCTAGAATTCATGTATGCCCTTGTGGTTATCTCCTAATCCTCTCTACCCTACGCTGTAGAGTTCTGCTAAGTAGATTCAACGTTTCGGCAGAGAGTTTGATTGATTATCGCAGGATCCACGATGACATCATTCCATTGACCCCCCGGTCGAGTCTTATTTCGCGCATAGCGGCATTAAGTAACATGCAGATTTTTCTTAGGCAAATGGGATTGCTCTGTATCATGTGATTTAATTAAATAGCTCTCCTTGGATACGGAGAATCCATCAGCAAACAGAATACCGACAGCGAGACGAAATTGCGGTGGATCTTCGTTCCGGACATTCTACTTCGGAGTCTGTCATTATTGGCCTCCGAGTTTGAGGTACAATCTGTCTGCAACCGGTGATTGATTGAAAATATTCGAGAACCAGGGTTCGTTTTTAAGGTCTGGGACTCGAATGATATTGCTTGTGTTTCAAATTGGCCAACAGTTTCGGGTGTGGTCATGCTGTAGCCGTATACTCCGTACAGTAGGTGGAGAGATACACAAAAAGAACAGTACTGCATATCTGACTTTTGGTGTCACGACCAAGGGAGTGGTAATGCCCTAGATTCTTCGCTTTTATTACGCTGTTTGACACAAGAATGCTGCTATAATTATCGTTTGGGCACGAGTACATACATATTATCTCGTGACAGGTCGAACCCTAGATAATGTCAGATGATAGTGAGATCACTGTCCTGTGGTTACCGTCGTTCCTGAGGTCCACGGGTTCCAATCATGCGTAAATTCTGGACTCGATTCGTTTGTGTTTCCTACTGAGTAGGGCAGATGTACGAAGGGAATGTCTGTTGCCGACGATAATACTGATCGTTATCGTTGGAGACGTACAGAGTAGTCATCCATACCAGGGTCTCTCAGCTAATTATCGTTCATTGGATGTGAAATTCCCCTATCTGTGCATTATTAGTTACAGCCGAAGTACTTTTTCGGGTTTCACAGCATCATGTCAAGCATGCATAGTAGACGGGTACCCGTGAAACGGCCAATGAAGTATCGAGTATCTCCTGATCATGACGCAGCACAAGACTTTTTTTCCCTGAGATGTTGATTGCTTGGGTACAACTTTGATAAAGCCCATCCTTGAAATGTATCAGGGTTGATTAAGCGAATCAATGTTTTGGGCAGTCAAGCCAGACCAGTCCTTCGCATGTCAGCTGACATTCATCGGAAAGACAGCATGAGCTGTATCATAATACCAAGGCCACTTGCAGAATAAGCTACAGCTACATACGTAGTATGCGGCATAATTCCTGAGTTTATTTATGCAAGTTTTGTTTCGAATACTAGGAAGAATGTCAGGCTGTCAGCTCACATGACTGTCGAAACAGCCTCAATTGATGCAAAAGGACCCATGCAGTAATCGATGAAGAGGGGGAAATCTCTCGATTCTCAGGACTCTATATGCAGAACGAAGTCATACTCTGTACTCTGACATGCCATTCATCTGACCTGCATTTAAAACTTTACATAGATCTTCGTTGGCCAAGACCGCACTGTCCATAAATCGCCCCGAGCTCCTCGCGCATACCAGTATGTACTTAGGCAAGCTTTAGGCGTGCCTGTTTAGGTCTACAATCAACCATTGATTCCATTCCCGCAGTATGTATGTGGTAGTGGACAGTAGTACGACGAACGGAGTATTACTAGACCCCAATATCCTCCAACCTTCACCAGAAACCGAATTCCCATGGTTAAGCCTCTCGCATAAGATGTAATGAGTAGTTATTCACGAGGCCCATGACGTCAAGCCAAGATGCGTTGGCCTACAATTGGAGGAAGTGTCCATGGTACAAATACTATGTAATTGTATGGTGACGTCGTAAATTACACCGTATAAGCGACTGACCACTCAAGCCTCAGCCCATTAATAAAATCAACCAATCACGGTGCTCCCTGCGGCTGGTCACCCGACACTTGATGGTTCAATCCGCAGGACGTTACAGGGGTGTAACTGACCCTCTTCTTCTGCACTAGCCTGGATTCGGTCTAGCGGCAACCAGACCAGTGGCTGTGACTTCATGGGTGTTCCCATGAAGTGTCGGTACTGTACTAGCTTAATACCAGGGGTAATTTTGGCAGATTAAGGCCCCCATAATTACCGAGACTAGTCTATTTTACATGCATTATTGTTGACAAAAGAGATGAGCATTAGGGGGTGAAAAGGAAACGGAGTACATAGAAAAAAGAACTGCTGTGAGAGGAACGTGGCTGCAATTCTTCATGGTAGTTCCTTGGTAACGTCGGAATCTATCCAAACCCTCGGAAAATGACGAAACTCAGACATAATTGGCATGGACTGATGGAAGAAAAGCGAATGAAAAATGAATGAAAAATCATAATTTTAAACTTACCGTATATGCCCGATCCGTCCTCACTGCTAACCGACGACATACGGTCTTCTCCCGAGCGAGCGCTTAGCAGTAGTGATGGTCGATGGTCGAGGTCGGCTACAAAATGTTCCGTCTACAGCCGCCGTCATCAATGGTAATTGGGCTGGCATGTGCTGAGTAGTAGCATGTGCTACAACTATGTATATATTCCGGATTTTAATCTATCTATATTCAGCTGGAGCATATCTAAAGCTATCTTCTTTCTCAAAGTACATATTGCATAAACACACCTTGCTTCCTGTATGAAGGAGGAGTAAGGGCGGCATAATTTCAGCGTTAATTTCAGTATGAAATTTATTACATTATTACTGGCTCCATACTTGACCCATGCCCCGCTTACTACTACTATACCAATTTAATAGTACATACTGGTACGGCCGATACCATGATGTATTTTTGGTCATGTGTCCATCTTTTTTGCACTCTTTACTCAGTATGTATGATATTGGCCAGAAGTATTATTGTTTTGTTTTTGTTTTTGTTTTTTTTTTTTTTTTTTTCTGGACAACTCCAAATTTATTTTGCAAGTTCAATACAACGTATAGAGTACTCCGTATAATCATGTATAGTTTTTTTAGTTTGAATGCCCAAATCCATGTCTCCATATGCCGGCGGCCGTAAAGAGCAAGCCGACTTGGGCCCTCCCCCAGCCATTGACCTACTTTCATGGCATCTCTCCACACACTGCCACCAGCAGCTCTGTGCACTGGGCTTTAAACTATGACAACCTTCTTTTCTATTATTATGGTCACTCTGTACGGAGTAATTGCTTGTCGTAGTGGCCAGTAAACCAAGTAGAAAATAATAATAGTAAACGTGCCAATTTCCTCCCCTCTTCTACTTCTCCGCCCCTCTGTTTCTTTCTCTATTTCTACTCTGTATTGTTCCCTCAAGTTGCCTCTCCAAAACCCGCCGCCCACGAACTAGATATTGGGACAGGCGCTTCCGCACCGGATCTCTTTTCACCCCCAGACAACCACCAGATTAATTATCCTTTTCAACTTCCTTTTCTTCTCTCACATACTTTACTCGAATGGAGTAATTTGAATCTACATTCTGATTGTCTTTAGTCCTGGTTGCTCTCTTCATATTCCCGGCGTTCCTGCAGCCCTCGCGTGTTCGGGCTTCGTCGCTGGACCAACGTCACCTGCTCTCCGTCTCCCTCTTTCTGCCTTCTCCCTCTCTTCCTCTCTTCTCTTTCCACCCCCTCTCCTTCTACATTATTTCAGAAATTTATTATCCGGCTAAACCGCCCATTCTCACCTAACTGGTGAGCCGTGAATATTGCCCCTTAATTATTCCTCTTTTTTCCCTTTTTTCTTTTTTTTTTTTTTTTTTTTTCTTATTAAGTATCCGAACTGGTCACGGATACTGATCTTCTTCCTCCCCCTCCTCTCCTTCATATTCCCCTTTGGTTGAATCCGCATTCTTTCTTCCTACCTTCCCTTCTACCTAAAGGGTTCCTTGCGGTGGTCTATTTGTCTGGTGTCGGTATTATTGGCACTCTACTCAACTCGATTGGTTCTCATCTGGTCCTTTTTGGTCCTGAGCCTTTCTCCTCCCCCAATAACTTGTTGCGATTCGTCCGTCCCGCAGCCCAGTCCGCTTTCTCTCAGCTCCTCAACCTTTGGGTCTCACGCGCACCTCCACTCAACATCCACCACACCACACCCACTCCCATTACTTCTTCCGTTCGGATATTCCGCATATCCCAGGGCAGATCCAATTAGTGCTCCATCTATCGATCAAAAATAGCTGCCCGAATCGAACCTCGCAGCTACTACTATTCTTTTTTGACCGCCTCTTTCTGTCCTCCGCTCTTGAAATACGACAGTCGTCCATACACTCGATAGCACTGTCCACCTTGCCGCCTACCGTCATCCCCGCAAGTCTCTCGTGATGTCACAAAATAAGCCCTCAATGTTTTCAAGTCTGCGCATGGGTGGTAAGAGACGATTTTCTTTTCCTGTTTAATCTTCCTATCGCTTTCTAGGCCCAATGGCGTCGCTATCCTATCTTGGTTACTCTATATACTGACACGAGTTTATTTCCCCACCAAGCAGAGGTCGTCCGCGAAAAAGTCCAAGATGGGCTGTCCGGAGAAATGAAGGAGATCTCCTACACACAATGCAAGATCGTGGGAAATGGGTCGTTCGGTGTCGTTTTTCAAACCAAGATGATGCCCAGCGGTGAAGATGCGGCCATCAAACGGGTTTTGCAAGACAAGCGTTTCAAGGTAAGTCATACGACAGGCCACGGGGAGTGGTTTCGTAACGGAACCCGGTGCCGTCGTCGACGTCGCTGACACGATCATAGAACCGTGAATTGCAAATCATGCGGATTGTTCGCCATCCCAACATTGTAGAATTAAAGGCATTCTACTACTCGAACGGTGAGAGGGTATGTCTTCCTCCCGTCCCCTCAAACCGGTTCGATGTTAACACCTAAGTAGAAAGATGAAGTGTACCTCAACCTTGTCCTCGAATACGTCCCCGAGACCGTCTACCGGGCGTCGCGATACTTCAACAAGATGAAGACAACCATGCCGATGTTGGAGGTTAAGCTTTACATCTACCAGCTCTTCCGCTCCCTGGCCTACATTCACTCCCAAGGCATCTGTCACCGAGACATCAAGCCTCAGAATCTCCTCCTTGATCAGCACTCCGGTATTCTGAAACTCTGCGATTTCGGGTCCGCCAAGATCCTTGTTGAGAACGAGCCCAACGTCTCTTACATCTGTTCGCGGTACTACCGTGCGCCCGAGTTGATTTTCGGCGCAACCAACTACACAACGAAAATTGGTATTTACGACCCCCTCTTCCCCTTTCCTTTTCTTGGTCCTACCCAATGTTATTCTCAGTTGACTAACGTAAATACCAGATGTGTGGTCCACCGGCTGTGTAATGGCCGAATTGATGTTGGGACAACCGCTCTTCCCAGGAGAATCAGGAATCGATCAACTTGTGGAGATCATTAAGGTTCTTGGAACCCCTACCCGGGAACAGATTCGGACCATGAACCCCAACTACATGGAACATCGCTTCCCTCAGATCAAGCCTCATCCTTTCAATAAGGTAGACAGTTCCCCGCTCCCGTTCATATCTTCCTTGAAGTGCCATGCTGACTATATCCTCTTTAGGTTTTCCGGAGAGCTCCACACGAGGCCATTGATCTGATTTCGGCTCTATTGGAATACACGCCCACACAACGTCTGTCTGCGATCGAAGCAATGTGCCATCCTTTCTTCGATGAACTTCGGGACCCCAACACCAAGTTGCCGGATTCGCGGCACCCCGAAGCCGCGCCGCGGGACTTGCCTAACCTTTTCGACTTCTCCCGGCATGGTATGTTGGCATCTTTTATTTATTTGTAAGGCACCCAGAGTACTGACAATCTCCTACTAGAACTCTCTATTGCTCCTTCTATGAACCACCGACTGGTTCCTCCTCACGTACGGCCTGCACTCGCCGCTCGCGGGCTCGATATCGATTCCTTCAAGCCGCTTTCGAAGGAACAAATGATGGCACGCCTCGACTGAGTCTGAGAGCGATGCTCACGAATTGTACGCCTGTTCAGAGTGCTATTCTTTGCATAATTGCGCGGAGAAAAAAAGGGCAGCCCTTTTCTTCTACCGTTATGCAGTACGAGTTCTTTTTCTTTTCTTACCTTGCATCGGGCGGTTTCTGAGTTTGGAAAAGATTTCTTCGGATCTGTAGTCCTCTCTCCTTTGGCGAAGCATCTGAGAGCTGGTTTCTCTGGGGGAAGATCAAAAAGGAAAAAAACGACGAAAAAACCAGAAAAAAGAAGAAGTGTCATCCATGTCATGATGGTGGAGAAATGGATCATGACATTTCACGCATGAGGGGATGGGATTTATAGCCTGGAGTTTCGTTTTTTTCGAGGTGTCTGAGACAGCTCTTGGGAGGAAAAAGTGATACCCTTATCTGCGTGAGTCTGCCTTCCGGGATGGGATGTAAGTCGGCATAGCTTCATATCTCGAATGAAGGGGCCATGGGAATCAGATTGCTGCAAGTCATATTGAGAAGTACGGAGGGATGAGCGTCCTGTACATGGGTCAGATTTCATGAGGATTTCTATTTCTTTTTTTCTTTCTTGCTTGGTTGCACATGTGCGTGATGTGCTTTTTTAAATATATGTATTGGTGGACTTATTCCAGACTTGCGGCTCTAGAGACCCTTCTTCCCCTTTCTTTTCTCTTCTTTAAATCGCTTTTTTGTTCCTTGCTGTTGTTTTATATCATTTTCTTCGTTGTGAATCCCGGTTTCATTCGCTTCCATGACTCGGCTGATAGTTGTTTGTTTGACACAACCAAACCATGAAGCTACAAGTCTTCAATCCAGAAAGCAGACTATTTGTTTCTTTCATTTCCATCTTAAGTCTCTTCAAGGCGTATACTGATTTATTCATTCGCGATGCTGTGTTCAATGGTCTCTGGAAGTCTTGGTTGATTCCGTTCCATTGCTTGCCTTGTATTTGGTCGCAAATCCAGTCTAGAGCTGCTTTGGATATTTCAACTCTTGCCATTTCTATCTTTTGATATCTTACTCCGTACTCTGTAGAATGTCTTAGTTACTTTCGAGCTGTAGCGTATTATGTAATGATCGGAACGGAGCAGCCGCAGTCCCGGACTTCCGCAGCGATTATTGGTCTTTAGCGTTCTGCGCGCATAGCTGGGAAGAGCTCCAAAAGCTTTGGTACTTACGCCCTATCGCATCCAGATTAACAAACGGAACTCCTACAATTGAGGATTATCAGGGCGTGAAAAGAAAGGAGACGATAAAGAGAAATACCTCCGTGCATATGGCCGATTACGAGCGCCGCCATAATGGTCCCCCCAGGGGTGGTGGACGCAAGAGGCGTTATAGAGGTCAGTTATTATCATGGATTGTTGTACCACTGCTTTTACGACTTGCTTTTAATGTGTCGCTCACATTTTCTTTTGCTTTTACAGACGATGACGACTTTGACCGCCGTCAGCAACGTCGAAGATATGAAGAACCTCTTTCTGGCAGAGTCCGAAGACTGCTATTCACGATTGCGGAATCGGTACGAATACTCGCGACATCGAATTGTTTTGGTCGTCTTCAGTTCTGACTGTTTCATTGTGGATATAGGTCGTTCGAAGGGTAGAGGACGATGTCGCGTACATTGCAAAGACCGTCGCGGAGAACTACGAGGATGAGGAATTGAGGAATACTTACATCGACGCTACCATTGACCTGTATGTTCTGGAAATGCTTTTATGGCGATTGCTTGCGCGATACTTGCAGTTGGCTGACGATACGATCTTCTTGACAGCGCCGTCGAGCAACCGTTGAAGATTCCCTTCGTCGCGGCCACGGTTTTGGTTGCCAATAACCAGAGGTCGGAGCTTGTGGCCGAGGTGCTTCAGAAAGCTAGCAGCACTCTACAAAATTTTATCAATGTCGGTGCTTGGAGGGAAGTCAAGCTTCTCGTGCGCTTTTTTGGTTGCCTTCAATTCATCTTTGAGGGTGATGGGATCTTTCCGTTGTTGGAGGAGCTGTTCGCGCGCGCGGTCGATCAACAGACGGCGTCTTCGGAAGACGTATGTATTGCTCCCATGGTCTTTATATGATGTCTAGTGTCACAATTTGCTGACAATCTGGATTTAGTTGCTAGGGCTCGAACTGGTCAAGATCATCCTTTTCACTATCCCCTACGTGATGGCATCTCCGGCAACCGGCTTTGAGGGCCACGCAAACGCTCTTCTCGAAAAGACGGACATTATCGCTTCCACTCCCCATGCGCTTGTCGACCTGGTCAAGCCGTTTCCCAAGGAAGATGAAGAGCCCGTCGCTACACCGAGCATTATTAGTCTCCTCCAGACACAACTCCAGGCCGAGTCCAGTCGGAATTGGGAGTTGGTGTGCCTTCCTCGTCCTTGGAACATCCCGCCGGAGGGAGAGGAGGAACAGGAGCCTTTGGAACCAGGGACAAGACACGCTTTCCCGCAAATCACCGTTCCCAATCCTGTCCCGAATGGTGCCAGAGCAATCTTCCCCGAGGTTTATCTATCGGTATACGCAAACCAGGAGGTGGAAACGGTGCCGCCGTTGTCTGATATCACGTCCTCATTGTTGCGCGATTCCCTGGTCGACACCATCAACCTCCTCGACTTCAACCGTAACGCGACCGCCAAGATCCTGATCGATGTCGACTGCTACTTCACGCCTCATACTTTTGTGAAGCGCGCGACGCCCTTTGACCGGCTCCGCGAACTCCCCCAGGACCGCCCAACATGGAAACCGGAAGACGTTGCTGTTGACGCAGTGTTCTCTCAACTATTCCAACTCCCAACGCCGGAGCATAAGCTCGTCTACTACCACTCAGTGCTCACTGAGTGCTGCAAGGTCGGGCCTGCTGCTATCGCGCCCAGTCTGGGGCGTGCGATCCGTTTTTTGTACCGAGGCTTGGAGGTGATTGATTTGGATCTCACTCATCGGTTCTTGGATTGGTTCTCGCATCATTTGAGTAACTTTGGTTTTACTTGGAAATGGAGTGAATGGTTAGTTCGATAACAGGAATTGCTTTTTACGCAGACTGCTAACGTTCACTAGGGTCGACGACCTTGATCTCCCCATCGTTCACCCCAAGATGTCTTTCATTAACGGGGCCATTGACAAGGAAATCCGGTTGAGTTTTGCGCAGCGCATTCGGGGCACCCTTCCCGATCCTTACCAAGACTTGATTACTGAAGGAAAGGAGAAGGATATCCCTGATTTCAAGTACTCTGTAGACAGTGGGTGTTGCATACCCTGTAAATACTTATGATCTCTGACTGACACATGCTAGCTACACCGTACGCCAACGAAGGCAGAGAACTCATGCAACTCATCCGCAAGAAGGCTGGCGACGAAGAAGTTCAACCGATCATCGCCTCGATCGAAGAACAAGCCAAGGAGCACGGCGTCGAAGACCCCATGCTCCCATCCACCGACGCCTTCGTCACCTCCATCTGCTTCGTCGGCGCCAAATCCCTCTCCCACGTCCTCTCCTGCATCGAGCGCAACAAAGAACGCCTCCTAGCAATCGGCCCACAATCCTCCCGTGCGCGCAATCAAATCGTCACCTCGGTCATGGAATACTGGGCCGACCAACCAGGCATCGCAATCAACATTATCGACAAACTCCTCAACTACACAATCCTCACCCCCCTCTCCGTCATCGAATGGGCCCTCGTCGAGAACCTCACCGCAGGCAACATTCTCGCCAGAACTGAAATCTACGAAATGGTTGCCGCGACAATCGGCAAAGTCACCAACCGTCTCCGCCAGATCGTCGCCGCGCGCATCCAGCCGGGTCTCTACGAGCCCCAGCTCGGCGTTATCGACGACACCCTCCACCGCGAAAAGGCAGACATGCAAGCCCTCTTCAAGGTCACGGAGGACTCGCTCGTCTCGATTGCCAACGGCAGTAATGATGAGCAGATGGAGCGTGGGGACGGGAGTGGTGGTTTGCCGGAGGATGAGATTCTGAGGCAGTGGGGTCACCGCTGGCTTAGGGTTTTCCGGCGGAAAGCTGCGGTTGAAGAGGCGTTTATTGCGGAGGCTATGGCGGGTGCGACGCCGGTTGGGACGGTTGCGCCGCCGCAGCCGGTTCAGCCTGCTGCTTCTGCTGGTGCTCCTGTGCAGGATGCTAATGATGGGGATTTGGATGTTGCGGATGCTGATGCGGCGAGTCAGTAGCTGCGCTAGTCTGGTTAATTAGGGTAGATTATCTATACAATCAGTTGCGTGCCCGTTTTCATTACAAGTCTCCTTTGTACATTTGCATATTTCTATTAGGTATTAGGGGAACATGAAACAAAAGAACCGGATATTTCTTTGGATTGACTTGAAATTAAATCATCTATAACTGATGATTGAAATGCTTTGGCTCCTTTCTAGAAAACTATATACACAAGAATTGGCATAAAAGCAGAACACATTAAAGTAAATATATCACAAGAAGCAAAAAGATTAATGTACTAAACCGATGTTGTTACAGGCCTCGATTAAAAACATTAATGATGTGCCAAAAGCATGAAATCGTAACTCACTTTCCGTTCAAAAAAGCCCAGACCTGCAGACAGAGAACTTCAGAAGCATCTCTCACATATCGATGGGTATTTTTTTTTTTTTTTTTTTTTTTTTTTTTTCGTTTTTGTTCGAAACTCCAGGGACGGTCACTCCAACCAGCCATGCAAGATATTAAAACGTCGATATAAATACATGCGAATGTAAGAAAGTAAAACGGGCTCCATGGAGCCAGGTCGTGGATGCATGTAGTGATACATCAGAGGACTTTCTTCGTCTCTTCCTCAGCCAAGTACTTGCGGTCATCCTCACCCTCAACATCCTTGAGGATAGTCTCCATCTCCTTGGTCTGTCTCTGCCACTCTTTCTGGTCCATCTTTGTCTCGCGACGGAAAAGTTCTTCGTTGGGCTTCCGGTAGCTACCCCCCATGCGGTCCCACAAGGTGGTGAACTGTCCATAGTTGTAGTTGAAGTAGAGATGGTGCATGGTGTGGCAGGCGGCTCCGTTGATCACAGGGCTGTTGGCAACGTATTCACCGTCGTGGATCAAGACGGTCCAGAGGTTGATGAAACCGAAAAGGAAAACGTAGGCGAGCTTCTGGAGAGGGAAAATGAACGGGAACATGTGGTAGGGCACACTCTGCGACCAACCGTCCATAGGGTGGAAAGCATGCGACGCGAAGGGGCTAGGCATGATCCATTTGTGATGAGGTTTGTGCAAGGTCTTGTAGATCAGAGGGTGGTGCAAGCCACGGTGAATCCAATAGATGCAGAGATCGGTGAACGCGATGAACAACGGGAATTGAATGAAGCTGTAGCCCCAGAAAGGCTCATCCGAGAACGAGTCATAGAGTTTGGCGTAACCACGAACTTCCGCGACCAAGAACGGCGCAGTGAGGAGAGACATGATGGGCATGGACTCCATGGTCTGCTTGATTTCCATGGGGATCTGGTTCTTGAGAAACTTCGGGTGATGGACGGTCGACTTGTCCCAGATAAAGGTGTAAGAGAGAGAGGCGCAAATGAAGTATGTGATCAGACCGAAAATCCTTTACAAGATTTCATGTAAGCATCAATCACTTTCTAAGAAACCGAGAGAAAAAGAGATCGCGACATACCAGACGATCAAGAAGAAACTGAGGAATTGGCGGTAAATGTTGTTTCGAGGCCAGGCGCTCATATACGCATACTTCGAAGGCTCGAGATAGATCAGTTGTGTGGCAGGCTCGTAGACGAAGGGCTGTGTCGCGCCGAAAAGCGACAGAGTGCTGTTGGCGACACTGGTGAAGCCAGGAACAGTGACCGAGGAGGACAGCGAGGTAGGAAGAAGCGCTGAATACAAGCGATCACCAATAAAGGTGTCCCAGATCTCAAGGGCGATATCCATGGTGCAAGTTGTTCTCTAACCACGGCCAGTCGTCTGGGGTAGAAAAAATCTAGGGAAGCGGAGAGAAAGAGGATAGGATGACAACCTGGTCAAGTCGACCTTGGATTGACCAGTTGACCAGGCACAAGAACAACAAGGAAATGAGAAAGATGAAGAATTGGGAAAAGATGAGGAAATGAAGGGATTTGTTTTAGTAATAAGAGTCCATCACACCAGGCGGAACCTTCAGAGCCGTTCCGTTGCGCGAGGGCGGCGATAATTTGCCAACTCCTTTTGTAGAAATGTTACTGTCTCCATACTTGTATACAATTGAGAGTTCTAGAATATATATCAAGTGAAGGACCATTATCATATGACCATTTACTGCTATATACTATGTACATACAAGTACTTGACATGAACGATAGAGTACTCTGTACTCTGTACCGGTACTCCGTCTACGGATCCTTCACTACTGCCAGGTACCGTTTTGCATGGCCTTATCTGATTGGGTTTTGAGTCTGGGGGGATTGAGGTCATGTGATATCAATATGTTCCCATCTGGCACTGCAACTACGGAGTATTATTATGCACTATGGGGAACGCAGAAGATGCAATAAGGGAGCTGATAAAGATGCATGATAATGCAGAGAATACAGCATAACTCGTGTCATAGAGCTGGCTCGATATTTGACTTTGCACTCCGGACTGTACTCCATACCATGCTGAAACCAACCCCAGAAGGTCTATGCTTTGAGTCCTGTAACTCCTTGATGCATCTGCACCATGGGATCGATGCAGTCATGTTCCGAACATCCACCACGCAGTCTCATCGGCTGAAGCACAGAATTCTGAATGGAAAGGTGAGGTTGCACCGGTGATTTACCAGCTGGCTGGGTCGTGACCGAGATCATCAACATCGATTGGTACGGATTAGGAGTGTAATAATACGCTTAAAAAGGGGCAGGTTACAAAGAACCATATACTAGATGGTATATGGACTTGTAGATGTATCTACATATGTACTCTTAACGAGTACGGAAGTCATGTGACGTATTAGTCCCAGAAAGGAAAGACAAGACTAATTTAGCTATGACCTACTGGCCCGAAGCTGCCGCCGCCGCATTTTTCGTCTAACCGCCTTCGCTTCTCGCGCCAACGCCCGAGCCGCAGACGCCCGAGCCCAGCCCTGATCTCCGACCTGCTTTGAACTGTCTGTCACCTTTTCCCCCTCCCTCTCTCACCTTTGCTTTTCTTCCTATCCACCGCCGCCTGTTCTATCGCCACATCTCTTGACCTTATCACAGCGGGTTTTTGTCCCTGCGCGCTGTGTTCGGTGGCAGCACTGACTTCCCAACAGTCTCGTGTGTCGCTACTCCTACCTACCTCCCTCCACCGTCGACCCACTTCATCGTCGCCGTTGTCGCAAGCCATTGTCGTTTCCATTCGGTCCGTCTCGCTATCGTGGTTTCTCTGCCACGACTCTTCTTGATCAAGCGGTCGAAGCCAACCACAGACACACGCGATGTACAACGCTCATCGCGGGATGGTTCCCGCTCCCAACTCCCGTTTGTCGGAGTTGCTGGACCAGCTACGCCAGGAGTTTGAGAACCAGTCGAGGAGCACGGGAGAATTTGAGCATCAATGTGTGTATAAGTTTCTTTTTCTCTTAATTCTACATCCTTATTTAGTGTTGTCCCTTTTGCCCATCTCGTGTTGCGACTGTTCGTGCTTCGATGACGCGGTCGTGCTTCGACATTTTCGTGACATCTCCCCTCTTTCATGCCTCAAGGCGCTCACAGAATTACCTGTCGAGTTCCCTGGTTAACTGACTAGACGCAACAGTAACCGGCCAGCTACAGGAAATGGAAATGATTCGCCAGAAGGTCTTTGCTTTGGAAGCAGCGCAGGTTAAGATGAAGCAAGAGTTCGTGATACCTCCAGAAACGATTATTTAGAGATGGAAAGGTTGCGCGAATTATTTCTAACGGTCGGACTTTTCTGTTCAGCTACGAGGCGGAGATTCGAATGCTGCGACATGAGCTGGAATCACGCGGTGTCCAGACCGTTTCGACCCATATCGCCGGCCCGGCACAGCATGCTGGCCCTTCTCAGGCGCCACCCCCGGCATTGGGCCATGGTCCCAGTAATCTTTTTGGTGGAATCATGGCCAATCAAGGAGGTAGTGCTCCCGATCCTGCCCAATCTCTAGATCAGAAGCCTCCCCAGCAACATACTGTTCAGCAGCCAGCTTCCGTGGCTCAACCAGGAGCACTGCCAGAGCCGCAGATCTCTGGGAAACACCAGCCAGGTGCTGCTGTGAATGGTATGTAATCGTTTTTTCGCCATAGTTCCCTGTTGGCTGACACGGATCATTGTGATTTTTCCAACTCGTACAGGTTATCCTCCTCCGCCTCCTACAGCTTCTCCCGGTCCCAAGAGGCCGCGTGCTCCCCCCGGTCCAGCTACCCCGCAGCAGACTCACCAGATGGCCTATCCTGACCCTCGCGCGTCGCCTCAGATCGCTCGCCCCACCCCTCCTGGTCAGGCATTGATTCGGGAGCGACCAGGCAACATGTTGGCAAACTGGAACCCCGATGATCTCCCAGCTTCGCAAAAGCGTGAGGGTGCTGACTGGTATGCGATTTTCAACCCCGAGGTGCAGCGCGTGTTGGATGTGGAATTGGTGCACCACCTTGTGCACGACAGTGTCGTCTGCTGTGTTCGCTTCAGCCGTGACGGCAAATACTTGGCTACTGGCTGCAACCGATCTGCGCAAATCTTCGACGTGACCACTGGGCAGAATGTTGCTATTCTGCAGGATGAGAGCGTCGACAAGGATGGAGATCTTTACATCCGCAGCGTCTGTTTCAGTCCTGACGGCAAATATCTGGCTACCGGAGCTGAGGACAAGCAAATTCGGGTATGTTCCCCGCTTCCCAGTCTTGATTTGGTTATCATGGGTTGATAGATACTAATTCTGTCACGTTAAAAAGGTTTGGGACATCGCGGCCCGGACGATCAAGCATGTTTTCAGCGGGCACGAGCAAGACATCTACTCTCTCGACTTCGCTGGCAACGGACGATACATCGCATCTGGCAGTGGTGATAAGACGGTGCGTCTTTGGGATATCCTTGATGGCAAGTTGGTGTACACCCTCAGCATTGAGGATGGTGTGACCACTGTTGCCATGTCTCCAGATGGTCATTATGTGGCTGCAGGATCGTTGGACAAGAGTGTCCGTGTCTGGGATACCACGACCGGCTACCTGGTCGAGCGCCTGGAGACCCCTGATGGCCACCGGGACAGTGTGTACTCGGTTGCTTTTGCGCCGAACGGCCGCGACCTTGTCAGCGGCAGTCTTGACAAGACCATCAAATTGTGGGAGCTCAATGTTCCCCGGGGATACAACAGCGGTAGTGTCAAGCCCGGCAAGTGTGTGCGGACTTTCGAGGGCCACAAGGTAAGTTTATGTTCTCCTTTCATCCTTTGGTTCGATATTAACAGAGATGGTAGGACTTTGTGCTTAGCGTTTGCCTTACGCCTGATGGACACTGGGTGATGAGTGGTTCGAAGGACCGTGGTGTTCAATTCTGGGACCCGGTTACTGGTAATGCCCAAATGATGCTTCAGGGCCACAAGAACTCTGGTGAGTTGCATTCAAGTTCTCTCAGAGGAAAGCTCTAACCTGTGACGATGTAGTTATTTCGGTTGCACCCAGTCCAACTGGCAACTTGTTCGCTACTGGCAGTGGTGACATGCGGGCACGGATCTGGAGGTGAGTTCTCTTTTTATCTTTCATCTGGGAATGATGGTTAACAATGGCTTAGATACGCGACGTACACTGGACGGTGATGGGAATTTGACGATCGGAAGCTTCGGCGCAAGTGTGACTCTTGGTGTAATTCTGTTTGTTCGGTCTGCGTTATGTTTATGCTCTGTTTCTTCATTTTCTCTGATCATTTTTCTGAGTCTGTAGTAGCTGGTTCAATCTTGGCTTGGGTTTCTGCGTTCGATTGTCAAAGGCCTTTTACTGTTTAAGAAATGCTACTTAGTGATCCCCCAATGAAAACAGATTTGAGACTAAAGCCGAAAGTACGGAGTGCTAGTTCTACTAGAGGAATTGATGATATTTTTGGAATCGAAGTGTGGTTAAGGCGTCTCGTGAAGATACTGCACATGGTCACTAGTAACGTGCGGTACTATTCTCCTGAGACCCTGTCCGTTGCTTTTTTTTTTCAGGCTATATCGAGACTATCAGAGGCAAAAAGGGAAAGAATAAAAAAAAAAAAAAAAAAAAATTCAGGGACAAAAAGCAAGCAAAAGGTGTTGAATCTAGTTCCCGAAAGTTCTAATTTATGAGATACCTCAATCTGTCAACCTTAACTTTGTTCAGCATCACGTTCTACGGAGCACGGAGTACGGAATACTCCGGATAATACTAGTCAGTACCATACGATTATTTGTCTCGTCGCCAAGAGAGATATCAGTCTCGATCACGATGATAATGGAGATCACAATAATGACAAATGTGAATTATGCACAGTATATACATATCCACGGAGTACGGAATACCAGTACAAAACTAATCCCGATAAACTTGATTTGAAATGACAATTCGATTCCCAAGCGTGTGACTTGCGGGAATATCCTGCATTATGCATTTTTCATCTCACATGATACTTCAGCCGCCGTAAGCAAACAGGGATCACGTACTTTACTTCATTTCACACCACACGTTCAATCAGCCTCAGCCTCAGCCTCAGCCTCGCTGCGCTGTCTACCCTCCCTCGATCAACTCGACCGAAGTACGAGTCAAGTATCCAGTACGGTACGGAGACGCAGCAGAGCACGGAGCACAGAGCACAGAGCAATGCAAAGGAAAGCATTGCAGGGTCATATTCACTTTTTACCCGATCTGGTATGGATGCTCTCTTACCTTGGCTTGGCTTGGCTTACAAGTAGTTTGTATTACACTTAGCGCAGGAGAACTATTTTCCAGGGTCCGCGTGCCGTAAATCGGAATCGGGGATGCGGTGATTGGGTAACTGGGGATGATGCGGTCAGCTATGGCCAGTTTTTCGGTATTACTTGTATTTCTGCAATGCATGGGTATGGGTGTATATACGGGGTACTATGGTAGGACGACTGAGTCATGGGAAATGTACCTTTGCATCTTATGGAGAACAGGGTAGGGTTGCGCCGAATTACTGGAGATAGTATACAGAGTACGGAGTACTCTGTAGTGTCTCTCTGAGATGAACAGCTCGAAACAGGCATTATGTGTTCCTTGTTAGGTATGAACTGGTATAGCCAAAGCTATAGAAAAGCAAGTAGAAACAGAGACTTAATCAGGAAAAGTAGCCAAATAATCCAAATTCATCCAGAATGCTGCACCCAAAAATGTACGCACGATAAACTCGCTTTGAATATAGCGATTTGTAGGCAGCAATATCAAATGGAAAATCTTCCATATCAGTTTGCTTTTTGGCATCACGGCCATCGCGTCCCCGACTGCGAATGTAGCAGCCACAACAAGCACTGGTGCAATGGCCTCGATCCCATTTGTGACATATAGTAGTAGTAGTAGTAGTAGTAGTGTTGTTCCTGGTCGGGCTTTTTGCAGCATCCACAATCTCGTCCACAACAGCCACCACGTCCAACATAATCTTGGCGTAGCCATGCGCAGAGATACCAGTCTGGATCCTTTCTGTATGCCCTAAAGGCCCTTTAAACACAACCAGAAGGCAGGTCTGCCTCCAATTTTCAGCACCGTCGGGAAAGATCCCATAACTGATCTTCCAATTATCGAAGTTCTTTATTATATGTGGTGTGAGACCTTTTCATAGCCACATCGTCGTTTTCGGAGTCGAAAAGTGCCTGTGCTTTATGTAAAGCTCTGAATTCCTCTTGAATATATACCTTTCGCTGGACAATCCAGCGCCTTTGGATGTCCGCTACAACGGATTTGTGGGACCATTTCAATATGCGTTTTCTCTGGTCCTCAGATAAATACCAGAATAAGCGTCAACGTACAATTTGTGCAAGCTGAGCGTGGCCAGTATCTTCAAACTTAGACTCGAGCCATCGCATGTCAGTATTCTGTTCTGTTGCTGATACCGGCAGTGCAACGAGGAGATTGGTCTTGTCTTTGAACGGCCGGTCTGAGAGGAGGATTCTCGTGAGCTTTCGGGGGCTTTTGGTTTTGCTTATGTGTTTGTACCAATCCTCTATCGAGTCTTTGGCGGATGGAGACTTGGATATCAGCATGGTGCTTTGGAGATTTATATGTCTAGGAAGGAAAATTGTAGTTTGTAGGTCGTTGTTAGTTTGTATATTAAAGGGTCACCCTGACGTTATAAGTATAATTTTATTGATGAATTAGAGTATACTTGGAATTTCACATGTTATGAAGTTCTGCACCGATAAATTGGTCACTTGATTAGCATATACCATTACCTAGTGCTCTGATTAATTCCCAGCTGCTTTTGCTGCCAAACACCCCTGTTTCGTCGTTGATTATAACACTCATCACATGGCCTAATCCCGTGTAGTCACCAGTGAGCTAGCAGTGCTGTATAAATGCCTATTCCTCAGGCAAAGTTTTACCGCAGAAGCAGCTAACAGAATGATCGAGATGGCCAAATACATGATAGTATTTTGGATGTTCTACGACGCCCATGGATTTGAGCTGCTCAAATTCTAAGGCATCTTCTCGAAGAGAAAAAATGCCTTGTGCCTTCTAACCTCTTGAAATCACTCGCTGGCTGATAGATTGGTCACCTGGTTTGCATATGTTATATGAGCCCTGGTCGAGATCTCCTTTACCATTGGAGATTTCTCCGGCACTGAGGGTTCTGTTGATGGCCGATTCCTCATTGGCGACGAGAAAGATATTTCGGCCGACAGCGAGACTATCACAAGCAGACTTGTTAGTTATGACCGGTATAAGGATCCCAACTAGACTCCATACCGACTCTGTATGATGCGTCGAATGGCAAATTCCATGGGTTTGGGTGCTCGATTTATCCAACGATCTCTGTTGTCTACGCAGGTACAGCTTGTCTCATTGCGTGTGATATTGGTCGACCAGATCCCTGTCCAATACGCTCACTTTAGCATCCAATAAATGGCATACTTTCTATGCACTGATCAGAGTCACAGACTTCGACCATTTTGTCCAATTGAACCACACTGTTCCTGTATCAGCATATATCACTCCGTAGGGCCTTGAAGAACCTCACACTTTGCATCCCAGTCTCTATGCATTGCGGTAGTGTTTTATTGTCACGATGGTATGCAACGAGGTCTCGCGATGCTGTATATGAGCAACAAGCAAATCGTAAGTAATCAACTGGTCTATTCTCAAGTCGCTGCCACAACATACCGGTTTTGAATGATTCGTTTGCTGGTGTACGCGATGAGGAGCATCAAGACAGCCACTTGTTGTGGCTATTGTGCCGATTGCTTTCTGAATTGGCGAATATTCCCTCGATGGCTATCTGTATATACAAAACCGTGGACTGGATATAGCATGCAGTGGATGAAGACTAGAAAACTGGGTTCTATACAAGAAAAGCCCCTACTCGCTATGATAGTCACATTGATGACGGTGATCGAGATGTTGTGGAGTAGGTAAGTTGGGGGTAAGCTTTACGTCCCTACGCAGTGCCGAAACCATGCATTCACCAGTGAATGAGGTAAGAAGGCATTTGCAATTCACTCTAACTCATAAAAACTGTATGTTCTGCCCTGAAGATCACGAGGCAGCGGATTGCCCACATTCAAGCAGTTACGTACTTGTGCAGGAAGCGTATTCCGTTAAAGTAAAACGGAGCGATTTTTTCTTTTTCCTCATTAGCCGCCGAATTTCCAAGGCGATGGGCGGCTAACGGGATAAATTCGCAGATCGGTCCATGTGACCCCCACAGATTGAGCAGTACATTACTCTGTCCGGAATACGGAGTACGGAGGTCGGGTAATATTATGTACTGTACTCTGAGTAGTGATGAGATCGGTCGTACTCGGATTTCAGATTTAATTTATATAATAATATACTGGTAGAGTACGCGATCATATATCAAAGTAAGTACGGTACGATCGACCTCAACCAGTCGATCGGAGAATGCAATCCGCAAGACAAACTATGGTCAATACCCTGTCAGTGTCAGCCCAACAAGGTCCGGCCCGCGCAGAAAAAGAAATGAAAAGGGGCAGTACTTGTACATTATTACATTGAAAGAAAAAAGCGATGTGATCCATCACTTTGTTCCGTCAGCTCCGTCCGTTTTTTTGTCTCTTTCTGGGCTATCGACCGATCTCCCGCCCACGAGTAGGCACGGATAACAACAGTTGACAGGACAAATGATTGTCTAGCGGTCAAGAAAAAGTATACAAGTAGAATGGGATGGTTACACAACGATCTTTGTTTGAGCCTCGTTTGTACAGGATAATAATACAAGTACAGCAGAATGGATCTACAGAGGCTGGGCGACCTACTCTCGGCCTAGTTAGGAGCAGTTCATCGCCACGGAATCGAAACGAATCAGGAGAATACCACTACTACAAAAGATCTATCGGAAGGCTCCGTCTCTCACCGGAGGATCTTGTCGCCAGTCGCGGCTATTCATATGTACGGTAATATTTATTAATTACATTTCCCGGTGGATCCTGGAAATACGCACACAGACTATTGATCGCCCGCGGCGGTCCGTCAAGTAGCTTTGTCCCGGCCAAACCCTGTCCGGTGCTTGCTGACTGATGAACCATTCAGAGAAGAGGAAATAACACGATGCGGAATGATCTTCTTATAACAGGGATTAATTGTTGGAAGATGATGGCATTCGAATTGATACTTCAGACGGATGAACCCGCTCCAAGTAAGGACCCCGTATGGAGTTCTTGTACAAGTACGTACTCCGAGTACGGAATATGATAAAATTATCCTCCCGCGACTAGATGTAATTGGTCTATGCTGAAGGCTACCGGACCCTCCATGGTCGGTATTCACCATTGACCCGTTCTGATCGACTGAATAAGCTGAGGGTTATCACCCAAGTACTCTGAGTACGCACTCTGTTGAACATACTGTCGATCTGATTGGAAGCGCCCACGCCACGAGATGAACCAATCAGCCCCTGCAGTGCCTGCGTGGATGGCCGGGGGATGTAAGATCAGAACCATTTCGAGAGAGAGGACGCGCGGTAGCTTTGGCTGGAGTCAGATGACTGACTGCCTGTACAAAATACCAGAGTACTCTCCTATTCTACTCGTAAACTAGCATATTTGTATCTTGTACAGAGTACGGAGTACTGCAAACAACTGCATTACTGACCACGAACTATCGAGTCCCGTCACTTCGGTGCGTGATTGTCAGCCCGATCGGAATGTCCTCTCAGCTTCCGCGATTGGCCGGCCTCAAACTACTGTATTTGTATTTTGGTATGTGTGTATCTGTAAGACTCGGCTCCACTTGACGTGGGTTGGATATTATAACACTGTATGTAACTACGTATGTACGGGTAAATACCATCAAACATTAAGCTCTCCTTTTTTATTTTTATTTTTATTTTTATTTTTATTTTAATTATGATGATTTTGTTTGTCTGATGTTTTGCAGATCGTCCCGTCTTTGAATTTTCTCATTGGACACTTCCATTTCAGCTCAACTACGAGTCCAAACTGGCCTGATCCCTGTCATTCAGTCCACCCCGCTGCTTCCACTGTCCTGGGTCCAAAACAGTATGAAATTTTTTTTTTTTTTAAAAAAAAAAAAAAAGTAGAAGCAAAAAAAAAAAAAAAAAAAAAGGGTGCCGAAGTGGGTTGGCTGTAAGAGCCGGAATGTATATCAACTTCGGGATCGCCTCGTCGGTGCATAATCCAGACTCTACTGCTCCGTACATACTACTCCATACCTACACCACAGACCAGACCCTAATACTGCCAACTTGATCTCTCTTCTTCACTTCTCTCTCGCATCGATCTCTAGATCTATAAGACTCAGACCCAAACGCAGGCACAGGCGCATTCGCGGGGTTTTTTCTTTCTTTTTCTACATTTATTTAACCTTTTCTTTGCTTTTTGACTGTTCTATACCGGACTTTCTTTTTCAGCTTTTTTTTATTGCTTATTTCCTCTCTCACTCATCCATCCGCATTGATCTGTCTGTTTCAGAGACAAAACAACGGCTGAACTGTACTCTTCTGGACAGTTGTCTGTCTTAGGGTTGCTGATTCTGCATCCTCAACCCTTAAGAGACAGCATCAGGAACAGGGTTCAAAAGCAACGAGAAGGAAACACAAGACCGTCGAGATGGAAACCGCAGAGCCCGTGTCTTACGAATTCCCCGGGCATCCAGTGGGCGCCATGGCTTCTCGTCGTATTCTCCATCCTCACATGAGTTCTAACTACTTCTATCCTACGACCACCTCTTTTCCTCTGTCATTCCACTCGTCTTCTACTGCCCCGTACAGCTTTGGTCATTCTCAGCATTCTCAGCATTCTCAACATCCTCAGCATCCTCAGCATCACCCGCCTCCTCCTCTCAGCAACCCTCATCAGCATCACCACACGCAGCAGCAACAGCAACCGCAACAGCAACCGCAGCAGCCAACGCTGCCACCAGCGCCATCTCAACCCCATACCAGCTCGTACCAACCGCATTTCTTCGTCCCAGCTCCTCAACAACCACCGCTTCACCCGCAGCCTGTCCGTCTGTCATCAGAATCACCGCCGTTTCAGGGCGTTCCCGACATCCGACCAGCAAAAAATGCCATCAATCAAGTGGGCAAAGACTCATTGGTAAAGGCCATTTCTGTGTCTCAACAGACCACTAACGGAGCAGCGTCACAGGACAAGTCTGCCAGCGAGATCGATTTCTCTACGAATGTCGATGTCCTTATGAAGGCTATCCAGTCCCGGGCTAGTTCTGAGCCAACAACGACTCAGCAGTCTTTGCCCCCGTTGCAGCATTTGACCCACGGGAATGCCGGTGTTTTCTCTCCTCCGAGTTATCCTATGCCTGCGGCGTCGTCTATGACTCCTCGTGGGGGCTTGATGGTTGACGAGCCGATGTCCCGGTCTGGGAAGAGACGAAAGTACACCTGTACGCTTCCGCACTGTGGGAAGAGTTTCGCTCAGAAGACTCATTTGGATATCCATATGAGAGCACACACTGGAGACAAGCCTTTTGTGAGTATTTATCCTTTGGACCAAGTAAAGGAGTGTTGGCTAACAATATCTTCAGTTCTGCAAGGAACCCGGCTGTGGACAACGATTCTCGCAACTAGGCAATTTGAGGGTATGTTGTTACCAAAACTTTCCCTTTACATTGAACTGTCATTTAACCTAGCCTCAGACTCACCAACGCCGTCATACCGGAGAAAAACCCTTCTCGTGTGATATCTGCCACAAACGCTTCGCCCAACGAGGCAACGTCCGCGCGCACCAGATCACCCACAGGGAAGAAAAGCCCTTCAGATGTCTCTTGGACAACTGCGGAAAGCAGTTCACCCAGCTTGGCAACCTCAAGGTTAGTCCCTCCTTTTCTTTCTTTGTGCCTAATATTGGACATGTCAGGTTCTAACCATCAATATATCCAACAGTCCCACCAAAACAAATTTCACGCTTCCACCCTTCAGACTCTAACCGCCAAATTCGCAACCACAGTCGATGGAGATTTCATGAACCCACAAGACCGAGAATTATGGGGCTACTTTGCCGCGCTATACAAGAATAGTAACAAGGGGATCAAGGGCCGGGGCAAGGATCGCAAGATCTCGCCTTCTTCCAAATATTCTTCATCCGTGTCCTCGGGAAGACGATTCCAGGCTGATGACCATCATCAGATGCGTCGGGAGAGCTATGAGTATGCCTCTTCGACGTACACCGGGAGCAGTGATGAGGATGACATGGCGCATTACTATCTGGCTAGGAGGGAGCATTAGTGCCCTTCTTACTTTCTTCTTTCTTTTTTTTTTTTTTTTTTTTTTTTTCTTCTCTTCTCTTCTCTTCTTCTTTCCCTTTTTCAAATACCCATATACCAATTACTTTTGTTTTGAATTACCTGTTATACCGTTTCGGCGATGTTATCATTGATGTTTCGGATGTTATGCTCATATGATACCAATCCTGTATGCTCGTTTGTGTTTGTTTTGCCATCTTGATTTTCCAAGCCCAGAGTCAGGTTTCGGAGTTGATATATCCAATGGTCTCATTTCGTTTCGTTTCATTTTGTTTCAATGCTAGAGATAGAAGTTTCAACAGAGGAGGGATAGCAGACGTGTCATGTCATGTCATGTCATTTGATCTTGTCATGCTATATTGCAGTATATACTAGCGCTGGAGTTGTTTTCTGTTGCATTAACGTCAAACCAGCTAGTCAGGTATCTTTATTTGCATGGAACTGTCAGTCAGATCGTGGCCTTTTACTTAGGAATATGGAATACTTCGTAGATCGAACAAGATCCACAGTAATCGTGATCGGGAGTGGGATCGAGTTTAAGATGCATATAGATGCAGGATGATTTGCACGAGATAAAGTTTCGATTTTGCTTTTAATGGCCCCATTTAATCTACGTCGCTGTCATGTAATCTGACACCAATGTAAACTCTGTAATACTGTGTATACTGGTTGGTCATAGCGAATTGCCCTTTGCATGGATTAGGGACAAAAGACCAGCATGACGGTATCGCCGGTTGTACAGGAAGTGTCTACTATTTGGTCCGCGGTCATACACGTGCCATTGTGAGACTTGCATAGCATATCAAGATGCAGGGAATCCAGTTTTGCTCCAAGACACAAGCCCGAGAGGGCCTAAGAGAAGTATCGTACACACATATACACTTTTTATCAAGACACCAACCGCGGCAAATACACCTTAGTATTCTCATACACCAAAAACGTCACCCACGTACTGGGCAGCACCCGAAACAGATTCGGTCCCAGACCCTTGTAGAATCCCGCCAGACCCTCACGGGCCCAAATCTGCACAATCGCATCACTCGCGCCCCGATACACGAGATGAGCATCGTAGGTCTGTAAACGAGACCGTAGAACCTGGTAGGGGTATGTCACACATCCGGCGAACGTCTTGGAGAGACCGGAGATAACGAAGAAGTCGATGTTTCCGAGTGTGCGTCTTTGATCTGGGTTTTTGGCGGTGTCGTTGTCGGAGGAGAAAGTGGTTGGCATGGTGGTCATCTTAGAGCGGTAAATTTTCAACTGCTCGTAGGCCATGAATTGTAGAGCGCCATGGCTGACACCGAAAAGCGCGGGGAGAAGTCCCCGGTAGAAACCGGCGACACCTTCGGTCTGGAGAATCTGCTTCACGCCAGTCGCAACGGAGGAGTATGCACCAGGTGCTCGTGAGCCCGTGGATAGCATGCGGGTTTTGATTACCCAGATCGGATTGGTTAGGATAGCCGTGAGCAGACCTAGTTATTCGTAAGAGTTAGTCCGCTGGTCTCTCTTTTCGCAATGGCATATCCATACCCGCCGTTCCCGACGTCGCAAAGTAGTCGGACGAAGTGAGATCCTGCCCATCATGTGCGCGAAACGTCCGCGCAACTTCTTTGGCCTTCCCATAGCACAGAAAATAGAGCGCCCAGCTGGTAGAGTTCCCTATGATGTTGGGACTCAATCCCCGATAGAACGCAGCGACGCCACCCTCATGACGAGAGATGTCACGGATAACTCGGAATGAACCGCCAATTCGGGAAGATGAGGACCGATCGACTGAGAATTGGGAGAGAAATGTTAGCTTAATTCCCCGCCCCTGCATATGGGCGTTATTGCCAGTGCTTACCCTGCAGTCGGGTCTTGACCAAATCCAATGGATGCAGACAAAGTGTAGACACTATTCCTGCTGTGAATCCCGCTAAAGTCTCCACAAAGGATGGCGATAGACCATCTTGACCGGTCATGAACCTTTCGAGTCCAGTGCGGGTTGGTCTAGTTTTAGTAGGGTTGGTGGTGTGTGAATTTAGAGATGTTGAAGTCATAAATGGAAATGATTTTGTTGGTCCGGGCAATTTAGTTTAGCGGGCCGAAATATCTACTCCGAAGCCGAGGTCATGCTTGAACAATGCATGCAGGATTTACTTTATAGGTATATTCAAATCCACACTGGAGTATAAATCGAACGGCTTTGGCATCTACGATTACTCGTCTGCCCGGGTTATTGTACCTGATATGCGAGAACCCTCGCAAAGCACACAAGTCGCTTGAAATGCCCAGAATGAACAGAAGTATCATGAAAATGTCTTCATTAACCAGTGCAAAACATGTCCGAACCAGAATATTGCATAAAAATACACATGTGCCAATTTAATTCCCAGACACCAGCACTATAAAACCATCAAGACAACCGAGTCCCCAGCGGTCTCCGCATGGTCACAACATGATATTCCGAATGTTCCGTAGAAAGTAGAGAGAAGAGGTGTCTCGAAAGCCATTTATTCATACACGGGTTTCATAAACGTCTATGATCCCGGAACTGATCTAAGCAAGCGGCGAAAACAACCTATCGCGGGGTTAGTCGGTTCGAACGTCGGTCGATCGAGAAGACAGGGGTAGTACTTGAAGAGAGTTGGTCTCGGTTCACTGTAGGTGTAGCCTGATTTATTTGGTCAGTATCCGTCCCGACTTCCTATACACACATGAATTGAAAGACATACCAAGGTAGACAATCAGAGGAAGGTAACCGCTGCGCGATATACCGTCAGTGCTGTGAATTCTCAAAGCCTGGCTTTCTTCTAAGGTATAGCTCACTAGTGGATAGCGACCCGCGAGACATCAATGACCTTGGAGATGCGCTCCTGGGAGGGAAGTTAGCAATCCGAGCGAATTGAGTCGGCGGAGCGCAGCAGTCTAACCTTGGTCTCTTCGGAGAATTGGAACATCTTGGAAGAAAATCTGACGTGAAATAACCTTGAGAAACCGATATCAAAGGAAAAGAAAACGTCGCGAGGAAAGGCGAGAGTGTGCGGAAGGATGGCGGAGCGGAGGAATACTTTCCTGTCAAGCTACAAAAGTTTTCCGCCAGGCAAAAAGCGGCCGCCGATAAAGGCTGTTCTTCTTCATGCGATCACCCCAAGCTTTGTATTTCTCCAATACTATCGACTTCTACACACTTTTGCGCATCTAGTTCGTTTTTTCTTTAGTAATTCAATTACTGAACTCAACTACGTCTTCTATTTGCGATAAAATTGCCCAAATATTTGACCCTTTTTACTGAACCATCGGCGTCATGTCCGGCGCAAGACATTGGTATGGCCCTTCCTAAATGTGCAGACACACATGAAGCGCTGACAACATTATAGGGAGCAAGATAAGGAAGCAACCGTCTACATCGGTAATCTCGATGAGCGAATCTCAGATAGCCTAGTATGGGAGTTGATGTTGCAGGCCGGGCGCATCGTGAACGTCCACCTACCCAAAGACCGAGTCACCCAGTCGCACCAAGGGTATGGATTTGTGGAATTTATCAGTGAGGAGGATGCGGAATACGCGTCGCGAATAATGAACGGTATTCGTCTATACGGAAAACCCATACGCGTGAACAAGGCATCCGCCGATAAGCAAAAGGCCGTGGAAATTGGGGCGGAGCTCTTCGTTGGAAATCTCGACCCCATGATTACAGAGCAGGTTCTCTATGATACATTTGGCCGTTTTGGAAGCTTGACCAGTCTGCCGAAGGTACGTTCCTACCCGGCCCCAGTTCTTGTTTTCTTAAAGCAGTCGCTAATTGTTGCTAGATTGCACGGGATGACAACAATCTGTCCAAGGGTTATGGGTTCGTCTCATTTGGCGACTTTGAGTCTTCGGATGCGGCGATCACGAACATGAACGGGCAATATCTCATGAACAAGCAAGTCTCCGTACAGTACGCGTACAAGAAGGATGGAAAGGGCGAGAGACACGGTGATGAAGCCGAGCGAACGTTGGCCGCACAGGCTCGCAAGCACAATGTCCGCCCGTCAACTCAACAAATACCGCCCCCATTCCCAGCCCCGACACCACCCGTCATGCCAACAGGAATGGCAAATGGCGATGCATCCCGGCCGATGAGTACAGCACCCCCCGTGGCACCTGCAAACGCTGGTTTCCAAAGCATTCCTCCTCCCCAGCCGAATCGACCCGTACCTCCTGCGACCTCTCTGGCGACGCCGCCTCCAGGATTGCCTGCGCGACCTCCTCCTTCCCAGGCTGGTTATGGAGGGCCACCACAAGGGTTTGTACCTCCAGGTTTTGCGAGTCCTGGCCAACAACCACCTTTCCCACCGCAAGCAGCATCGCCCCCGGGCTTTGCGCCTCCAGGTTTCGGACCCCCGGCAGGAACCCCTGGGCCCCCGCCTCCGCTGCCACAGGGATTCCAGCCAGCTGGATTTGGCAGGGGGCGGTGATCAGCATCTAGGATTGCGCCAGAAGATCACTCATATAGGTAGGATAATCTGATATGATATGACGATCCGAAGAGACCTAAGTTTATTGCTGCCGCATACACCAATACCCGAAACCAGTCACTCCGCTTGTCTAGCGAGCAACAGCTTTGCTAGTTATAATTCGTTGAATAATGCATATCGCAACGGGTCTTTCATATGGGAATTTGGATAAGCTGATCTAAGTAGTAAATACCCTTTCGCGTAATGGACAATAATACTAGTTTGAATCGGATAACCTGAAGCTTGGGATATTTCATTCAACCTCAAAGATACAGGAGAGCGAATGCGTGTAATGGCAGAGTAATGGTTGTCAAAAGAAAAGAAAGGAAAGGAAGAAGCGAGTGCGCAAGCTAAAAGAAATGAAAGACTACAGGGCAACTATAGTTGCACCAAAGAGAGAATGATTATGAAAACGAAACGAACTTCGGGTCCCTGGGCCGGCCGTCAGGACCGATGTTGTGTTTGGCGAATCGCTGCTGGGTATATAACCGACGAGCTTCATCGAAGTCAACTTTCTGGCTTTTCATGATCCTCTTGACTTCGAGCTTTCCGGTCTCGTCCAGTCCCGCTCTCAGGTCGCCGTCTGCAACATTAGCTGTGATGTCGAACTGTGACGATGAGAGACCGGCTTCTAGATCGCCGGTGAAGCTAGGGGGAAGACGCTGATAGATGTAATCGGGGACTGGGAGTAGCGGTAGCCATCGAGACCGAGTGAGGTAAAGCGCTAAAATGACATGGTCTGATTAGCACTAGTTTGGAGAACCCGCATGCTTTAGAGAAGATCATACCTGTACCACAGATGATAACGCAAAAAGAAAGAAAATAAAGGAAATAAGCCATGGCGAACTGGACTTGTTTGTGTTTCAAAGACTGGATCGAACGAACGACGATGGAATACCAGTTCCTCTTGTTCTTATCCCACTTTCCGGTTAGAGCGGAAGTCGGCGGCGCAAAGTAGTAGAAGAGAGAGAAGGAATGTTTGGGATGGTTATTTTCTGCTGGAGAACACGTTCTCAGAGACAGGAGTTGGGCAATAATAAATCGCTGGACTGGCAGGAGTCTGCCCTGGCCAGATGCATGAGGCGTATTCAGACTAGTGAAGTGGTACGTACTGATATGTCAATGAGAGGCTGCGCAAGACATGATATCAGGCTGCCTGCACGGCTGCCTTTTTATGGCCTGATAAATAAGGCAATAATACCCGCCGGTCTATTCCCTAAACGGCCTGCTTAGCGAGTTCTGCGGCCTCTCGAACCGCAATTCTTGGCGTTGGCACACAACAATTACGACCAATTCCGGTATATCAGATTTGCGACGACTTCGACCTGTTCACTCTCTATACCCCCTTACCAGCTCAAATCAAAGACCCCCACAATGGCCGCCGTCACCAACGTCTCCAACGACCTCGTCTGGTTGCTCACCCGTATGTCCCATCTCTACGCAAACCCTCAACACCCGGCGAATTTTATAAGGTCCAAAAATACCAATTTGATCGATTTCCACAAAACGACAATCCACTACACACGCTGCTTTTTCGCCGGGTACATTTTAAGTTACTGAGCGCTGGCTAATTCCGATTTCCTTGCTTTGAATAGGCAACAGCAACTCCTTCCTTGTCAAGGGCCGTGGCGCTGATAGACCCCAGCTCTCCCGTGACCCTCTGAACTTGCAGAACCAGCACTCTTACAAGGTATGAAGGAGGAAATGTACAGGCGACCAGTCAGGAAGACTGTTAGTCTGTGGTCGCATTTGTCTGGGTGATGGATGGCTGATCTTGGCTTTTCAATATAGTACGCTGGTTACGCCAACAGCAAGGTAATTCTCGAAACCCAACGGCTCACCCGCTATCTTTGAACATCATTTGGACGGAGTATTGATGATTTGGTTTTCCAATCTTTCAGGCCATTGGTGTTCAGGCTACCGAGAACGGCGGTGTTGCCGTCACCACCAAGAAGACCGGCGCCCCCCAGCAGCCCGCTAAGACCTTCGTTAACGTGAACTACGGCCCCAAGACCTCCACCCGCAAGTAAGCAGAGACTACCTATTTTCATTGGGGAGATTCAGACCACTGTGCTGGAACGAGTGAGGACCGCGACGTGTCAGACAGGGCTTACTGGAGATCAGGATCTACAAGGGTGTTGCCGACGCCACCGCTAAGAACGGCTACCGTGCTGACATCCGTGAGGACGCTATTGCCCGTGTCAGCGCCATCCGCCGCGCGCAGAAGTCCAAGAAGGAGACTACCGCCAGGAAGCCCCGTGGTGCTCAGGCCAAGAAGGCCGCCGCTGAGAAGTCGGAGTAAATTTAAAGAACGAATGGTCTATTGAGTTGTCCGGAGACGGAAGGGTCATATAAAAGGATGGGCGTGTTTTTCGAAAGAATCATGACAGCGCCATGCTGGGCCAGGGCAAAGGCGTCCATGTAATTTAGCAGTAATGCTACCGGGTTCTTTCCCACCAGGATCGAACAAAAACAAGAGAAAAATCATAAAAAAAATAGCTCAGAAGAAAGCACCATATGGATATGGATATCCGGAGTAAGGCACTATGGAGAGGGAATATCGTCATAAGCGCTTTTATTTTGCTCTCAACTTACCTCGGGAAAATAATCAGCCTGGTTGACATCTACGCATGTAGACTGCCGTCTCTTTATCGAATTCGCAGGCCGTTCGTCGGGCCGAAGGGAGATACTTCTACTGGTTCCATAGTCAGAACTGCCCGTTTCTTTGCCGTCGGTCTTGCGGTTCTCCCGCCTTTTCCCGACAGAGAGACTAGGTCAGTGATGGATGGATTCGGCTTTGATAGTCGGGGATGACTTCAATTAGTCTCGAGGGCACGACAGCGCGAAAATTGCCGGGAATTCAGCGTGTTACAATTGGTTGTTCGTTGGGGGGGAAGCGTCCATAAGGGTACCTGTCTACTATTATCGATAGCCGGAGAAGACAGAGCTTTCCCACCCTCTCCACATGTGATCTGCCCAGTCCGATTTCCTCCCCCGTCTCTTGGAGGGATTTGGGATATAAATACCCTCTGTACCATCGTGTAATCATCCTCTGTAGATTCTTTTCCTTACCTAGAAATTGCTTCTTTTTAGACTGTGTCTGGTGAGTACTTGGCTACAAGTCACTGCCCGTTTGATTCACCGTGACGCTCTTTGCTTTCCCCGCGTGGTGGGATGAACCCCTCCTTCTCTCCGCCCGGCAGCTTTCCCTTCTTATAGTCCTGTCCCAGCTGTCCTCCTTCCTTTTCATCACTGACTTACCTCTTCTTCGTTATCCATCATCAAAGACAGATTTCCCATCTTAATTCCCCCATCTGTCTAATCATCATCCATCATGGTTAAAGCTGGTTAGCATCAATTCCATCCCTTTATCCTAGATATAACAACGCTCTTTACTGACTCTCGTTCCGGACAGCTGTTCTTGGTGCCTCGGGTGGCATTGGCCAGGTTCGATTCCCTCGTCTCTATCTGTTCTGTCGAGAAACTAATCATCATTCCTCGTCCTATAGCCCTTGTCTCTCCTCCTGAAGGCATGCCCTCTCGTTGACGAGCTTGCTCTCTACGATGTCGTCAACACCCCCGGTGTCACTGCCGATCTCTCTCACATCTCCTCCGTCGCTGTACGTGATAATATCTGGTGTTCTCCCGGTGTCTGCTCAGCTTCGTCTGTGCTAACATGCGTGACAGAAAATCTCCGGATACTTGCCCAAGGATGACGGCTTGAAGAACGCTCTTACTGGCACTGATGTTGTTGTCATCCCTGCTGGCATTCCCCGTTAGTACTTTTTTTAATTGCTGGCTCGTGGTCTTTTGATTGACTCTTCGATTTTAGGCAAGCCTGGTATGACCCGTGATGACCTGTTCAAGGTCAACGCCAGCATTGTCCGCGACCTCGTCAAGGGCATTGCCGAGTTCTCCCCCAAGGCCTTCGTCCTGATCATCTCCAACCCCGTCAACTCGACCGTCCCTATTGCCGCTGAGGTGCTCAAAGCCGCTGGCGTCTTTGACCCTAAGCGCCTCTTCGGTGTGACCACCCTCGACGTTGTCCGCGCTGAGACCTTCGTCCAAGAATACTCTGGCCAGAAGGACCCCTCCAAGGCCCAGATCCCTGTTGTCGGTGGTCACTCTGGCGAGACCATTGTCCCCCTCTTCAGCAAGGCTTCCCCCTCCCTGAACATCCCCGCTGACAAGTATGACGCTCTTATCAACCGTAAGTCCCAACATACAGTCTTTTTCTTCAAACTGCTCGATTTCAGATCTGTTGACGTGATTTGCAGGTGTCCAATTTGGTGGTGACGAGGTTGTCCAGGCCAAGGATGGCGCTGGTTCCGCTACCCTGTCTATGGCTTATGCTGGCTACAGGTTCGAACTCAACTTTTTCACCAGAAAACAGTGATCATCAGAACTGACCATCCCATTAGATTCGCCGAGGCTGTTATCAAGGCTCTCAGAGGTGAGGCTGGTATCGTCGAGCCGACTTTCGTTTACCTGCCCGGCATTGCTGGTGGTGACGAGATCGCCAAGGCAACTGGTGTCGAATTCTTCTCTACTCTTGTGACTCTCGGGGTAAGCAATGTCCATCCGCGTGTAGCGAAACATAGACAAGTCTAGCTAACACTATATACAGGCCAATGGTGCCGAAAAGGTCACCAACGTGCTCAACGGTGTCACTGACCAGGAGAAGAAGCTCCTCGAGGCTTGCACCAAGGGCCTCAAGGGCAACATCGAAAAGGGCATCGACTTCATCAAGAACCCCCCACCAAAGTAAATGCCTACCCCCGTTTATCCCCGCTTTACAGTCGGTATATCACTTATTACCGCCGGATCCCATTCATCGGCGGACGTGGAAAGAGCCTCACTAATCATTGATATCACGGAAAGATAGGCTTTAAACGCATGATATGTATTAGACGGTGAAATTAATATGGCCGACGGTCATTCCGGTAACGCACGCTATGCAGAAATGAAATGAAATAGTTTTATCTGTCCTTTTCCAACTCATGTAAAAGTAGACAGTTGGTTATTGAATCGTACGGGGTTCCCCGAGCACCTGGCCTGGTATAGCTGTCCTGCAGCAGTGCGATGTAGGCCTTTGTTGTAACTCCCGGGGATTGTTGCAGGCGAGCTCCATCGTGCATCTGCTTTCACGGCTTGGACTGGATGGTCTTTATTTGAAATGTCGCCGCCGGCAGCTCCGAAGTCTCTGCTTGTACCGAAGTGCTGATTCCCATGTTTGCGAGAGCTCCTCGAATAACGCCGCATGGGAAGTACAAGTACTATACCGGTGCATTGTTAGCTTCCTGAACGAGAGTGAGGACTAAATAGACGGTCCCTACCGCTTGTGCCATAGCTACAGCCTCCGTCCGAGCAGCCATGCTCATTCTCGCAAATGGACGAAAAGATTGATCAGTTAGAACATAGACACCCTGCATGAAAGCGCATTAGCTCTCGTAATCACACAGCGAAGTCCCCTTATCACGCGGGTCCAGAAGTCCACGTTGACGTACCCGATGGTTTGTCTTGAGATTATCGACTTGCTTCCGGAATAGAATTGTCCAGAGATCTTTGCATAGGAATTTGATTACGTCGAGGTTATCGGCAAAACGAGGACGGTCGCGGGAGAATCTACTCGTAGAATAATCCAAGATCCCATATGTTAGCCATGATATGTACACATAACGTATTCGGGCACAGGTGACCAATTCCCCTATGCGCACAAGCAGACGCAATATAACCAATGTATGGCCTCCGTTCACACCTACCGTTCTGCAAGACCCTGTCCAACTCTATACCCAAGCGACTCAAGGCGAAAGAATGTCGTTTCTCTAACCTCCTCGTCATCCGGTTGCTTGCCGTCATTCGTGGAGAGCTCTTTCGCCAGCCTCTCCGCCATAGGTACCAGCTCTATCAGGAGTAGATCGAGACATGAGGCGCTGAGAAGGTGGGCTTGGGGGTCGGAGGGACCGAAAGGGGAACTGGGGGCGTCGAATGACATCGCGGCGGACGGTGGTTATGCTGGTGTTGCTGGACGTGTCGGGGATAGGAACGGATTGATTGAAGATGAGAGGGGAAGATTTTAGTGTGTTTTCACGGTCACGTATTTCCGGTTCGCTGGTTGGTAAGGTCTGTAGTTTGTTTAGCTCTTGGGGGGAGAAAGGTAACTGATGGATGTCAATGGCCGTCGCCGTAGCTTCTCCGCGATCCGCGATCTGCCTTCGACGACGTCCCGCCGATTACATACATCTAGTCTTCTACAGTTATGTTTGTATTATGTCCAGTCCAATTTATTCAAAGACTCTTTAGCAGAATTTGAAAGGAAAAAGAGATTGTTTAAAATTAAGAAGCGCTAGTTCTAGTCACTGAGCTGCTGAATATCGCAGCATTTCAACGTCAAATGCAAACAAGTCGCAATGTAACCCTATTTCATAGGATACCATTGACTAAAGAGAAGCAATGAATGACGGAGTGGATAAAGTAGAATATGAGAGCAGATGGCTTCACTGATGCTTTACATCTCCCATATTATCTTTGCCTAACAAAACCACAAGAGAACACCAGGTAAACCACATGCGATTATCAAAACCCGAAAATCCAGTACTCCGTGACACCGTTCCAAATATGCAAGCAATCATCTATCGTAGCCGCCAAGCTGGCTTGGGGTATCTGAATAATTGGTCTGGCTCGAAAGGGGGAAGTCTTGTCCATTTGTATAGCCGTTGCTAAAGGAAGGCAGTGCTGGGAATGAGTGGCTGGGCGCATTTAGCGCAGGGCGTTTTGCCGGCCGCACAGGAAGATCTTCTTCATCGTCACTTGCAGTGAGATCAATAACTTGCGCCGCGGGTCTTTTATTGGTTGAAGGACGGGCAGCGGAAGGTGCCGAGGACGGCTCTCTTGATTGTATTGGCGTTTGTTGCAAGGATAATGTTGTTGAAACGGGCTCCTGTTTGACGGGCGTGAACCCAGATTCATTGACTTCTATTAAGTCGTCATCGTCTGACGTGGGATGGGGAGCACCGTTGGCTCTTGTAGTGTCCTCGCTTTTGGGAGTAGTCCATGTTCCATCGGGCTCGATGACAACTTGTTCTACATCTGTAGACGTTGAATGGAGGATGTCATCGACATACCTGCCCTGTCAGTAATGTAGCATCGAACACATGGAAGATAACTTACTGGTCAACTTGCAGAGACTCAAAACTAGTAGATTTGGAACACACGGGACATGTCCAGGTCGGTGCTTGTTCTTGCAGTTGCAAAAACGAGGAAGCATCGAAGCACTGGTTATGCGTGCACACCACTGAACGACAAGGAACGTCAATCCGAAGCGTAGACAGAGGACATTTCAATGACATGACACTTGAAGTGGCAACAATCTCCGAATCATCCGCTCTACTCCTCACTGACGACTGTTAGAAAAGAGAGAAAGAGAGTGGGTAAGGGTTTTAGGTCATCCTTACTCTCTCGCATCACCTGTTCCCTCGAAATTGTTTTCCTCGCCTTCAACTCCGCCACCAAGTCATCAACAGGGTGCCGCTGGACAAGGTTGACGACAACAAAGAACTTCTGCTCGGCCTGTCAGCAAAAAGAAAAGAAAACCTTTGATTTGTACATATTCATATTCATCGGCTCATACCTTTTGCGTGAGGGCGTATGTCATCACAATATTGTTCTGGTAACCCGGCTTTTTGCGAATATGACTTGTTATATCCGCTGGTCTGGTCGTGCCGGGCTTATTCTTGAGACCTCTCAGGTTAGCTTTCACCTCGTCGAGATTGGCTTTCAGCTCGACTTGATGGGGAAAGGCAACATCGGACTTGGTATACTGGTTGAGACCAGTGTCAGCAGCACAGTACACCATAACCCGACAATTCGAATCTGTCTGTAGCCTAGAGGCTACGGTAGAATTCAGGACGACTTTTAGTTCTATACTGTCTCTCGTTTGTTCCCGTACTTGGTGATGTTAGATCTGTGATGCCACGACAACCTGTACAGCAATGGTAGGACTCACCTTTACACTCCACTGTTGAGGTAAGAGGTTCCAATATTGTGTAAAACGGACTGTCCTTGAAACTTAACCGACCTAGGATTGTATAAGCGATGGTCACCGACACAGAGTTGGGGGAGACAACTTGAGAATGTACCCGACGTAAATCCGAGTGACGGTATTGGTATACTCAGAGGAGATGATCTAGGTTGTGTTGAGATAGATTGCGAAACCGCAGGCGGCTGGTATTGAGAGTATGACGGTGTCGAAGAGACGGCAGGCATTACGCGATTTGCTGTGGTATAAATAAATTTTCTCAACGCATCGTAACGAGCTGTTTGGTCGGTATGGGCGAGCCTTTCAATGACTTTTTATGTTGGAGGGGAAATGGTTAGCATTTGCTTCATTTCTAAGGATCGCAAAAAGACAAAGGGAGGTGCTGCTACAAACAGTCAATTATACGAAGCTGGAGCGACGCTTTTACTCCAGAGACAGCAAGCGCTTCACTCCTCAAAATGTCTTTGAGCTGTGCATTTGTCAGTGTTTTGACCAAAGCGATAACGCTTTGGAGGTCGGGAAATTGACCGGTGGAGGCCATTGTCAGGTCAACAGAGCGGGTGCGATCGAAAAAAAACACCAAGCGTCGTCAAGAAGCATATGAATTTAAGAAAAGCACACTTTTGGTGTCTTCGGGGAGAGACATCTCAATCCCTCCTGTTCTTTCTCTCTTTTCGCCCTTTCCGAGGTATTCCTCTAGCGTATTCTCCGTAATTGGAAGCTAGCAAGTTGAAGAAACTATAATTGTTCCATTTGAATGGTGATAATCAGCGAGGTTGACATGATTGCGGTCGAGAGAATGAATGCGACTGAGCTGCGGCGGCAATGATCTCGGAGGTTGAGGAGCATGTTCTCCGACAATGGCCATTGATGACATAAAGCAACGGAGAGTGTAAAAAAAAAAAAAAAAGAAAAAGAAAGGGCAAAAAAGGTATCAACGCCTCAGTCTCGGTCAACGTTTTCTCTTCATTGATTTTTCTTTTTTATTTCCATATCATTGTTTTTTTTTTTTTTTTTTTTTTTGCCAGTCAAGAAGAAAAATAAAAAATAAATAAAAATGGCCAAGAGTGCTCGCGCAAGCGTTATGAAGCGCAACCATGCAAAGCTTCGAGCAACAGTCTTCGGGCCTGTCTCTGATGCGCGGACAGCAAGACTTGCTGCAAAGCTGCAGGACCTCGCCTCCCAGCCAAAGCCTCCGCAAGATGAGAAGATGGACAAGGAAGATGCTATTGAGACGGGTAAGACAGTCGCCCACAGCTGTCCTTGTTTTGTATGCTCATGTTCATGTCACAGATAAACCAGCAGACGCCGAAAAGCCCGAAGCAAGTGAAGGTTGTTATGACCCCCTTTTTTTTTTAAAAAAAAAAAAAAAAACCTACTTTTCAGTCTCGTTCTCAGGCGTATATCTAGAATTGATGCTAACTTCATGAAAAGATATGGATATTGACAGAAAAACCGGCGCATCCACCAAACGCCGCTCTAATAAATCGGGGCGCATTCAAAAACGCGAAAAGAACTCCATTGTTTTCCGGTCGAGTGCAACCAAGGCGAAGGCCACGAGGAGAAAGTAAAACGAGTCTCTACGCGCTAGAAAAGTGATTGGAGATTGGAATCATAATATCATGATTGTGGTGTTTGGAGTTGGTCTTGTTTTTCTTTGCATGTCATGATACCAAAAGAAACCACCATGTCTTGTCATATCATCCATTTCAACGAGTTATCGGATAACATTGTTTGTTTATATGAACTCTCGATTACTAGAAATATGATTTAAGTGGTAAAAGCGATCAGATATTAGCATTAGCAGTGAGATACTCCGTATACATTTTTTCATAAACGGCAGGCGGTGTGGTTTCCGCAATGGACTTGGTCTCGCCCATCATGGGGGGTTCTTCAACATCGTGTACTCAGTGCACAACAGATTCTTTTTTCGTTTTGTGTTGCTGCTATCCTATTTTATATCCTTGATGACACCTTTCACTCGTTCCAATTGAAGCGCCGCAGCTTGGGGTTGGTTCTATGCGCCTGATACCCCCCTGGTAGACTCGATTCGTTCCGAAGGATGGCTGTTCTCCCATGCAACTGGGCAATATGGCTTGCCAATTTACTTATTCCAGTAGCCATTCTGGTCTTTTCATCGGGGTTCTTTCCGTACAAACCATTGCTTCCAGGGTTAGCGACGTTTGAGGAGGCCAATGGCGGTAGTAGGCCACCCGCAATATTTAATAAAGTCATCTTCATGGTGGTGGATGCATTGCGCAGGTACGATTGTTTTTTAATAGGGTTCAGTACACCTACAGCTAAAAGCAATGATAGCGATTTTGCCTTCTCTAGTAATTCGGGATTTGCCTTTGCCCAAAGGTCAGCAACAATCCTAGGATCATCACATCATTCTGTCTAATACTTCTGGCCCTTATTCCTACAGCTTGATTCGATCTGGTGCCGCGCTCCCGTTTACCGCTCATGCGAGCTCTCCAACGGTCACAATGCCTCGATTGAAAGCTATAACGACAGGATCGGTTCCGTCGTTCCTAGACGTAATCCTGAACATCGCCGAGTCCGATACATCCTCTACTCTCGCCTACCAAGACACGTGGCTCGCTCAGCTAAAAGCACGAGATGATAGACTCGTTATGTATGGCGATGATACCTGGCTCAAGCTCTTTCCTGGGATGTTTGATAGGGCCGATGGGACCACAAGTTTCTTTGTGTCGGTAAGTTGTACTTCAAGCACCTGTGTATGGGCCGAAAGAGGCTGATAATTCATTACATAGGATTTCACTGAAGTTGACAACAATGTGACACGCAATATTCCCGAAGAGCTTCAACATAGTGACTGGTCCGCGCTCATTATGCATTACCTAGGACTGGATCATATTGGACATAAGGCAGGTCCGAAAAGGTAGGGTATTAATTATCTCCCAAACAAAGTAGCACGTGCTGACGTTTCTCGAGTCCATACATGATGTCAAAGCAACAGGAGATGGATTCCATCGTCTCCCAGGTATATTCGGCCATGGAGCAGGAAGAGCATCTCCAGTCAACGCTTTTCGTTCTGTGCGGGGATCACGGCATGAATGACGCTGGTAACCATGGTGGTTCATCCGCTGGTGAAACTTCAGCAGCCTTGCTTTTCGTGTCTCCAAAATTCAAAGCTAGGGGGATTCAGAAAGAGAGCCCCGTGGAAGCGACTAACGAACTGCAATACTATCGTACCGTCGAGCAGACGGACATTACACCGACTTTGGCTGGACTCCTTGGGTTGCCTATTCCATTGAATAGCTTGGGGGTTTTTATCCCGGAACTACTGGTAATGTGGGATCATGGTATGGCATCCTTTCTATCCTTCTTTCTTTTTGGCATCTCTAATTGGAAACTAGGCTCCGAAAGAGTCCATATTCTGATGGAAAATGCGAAGCAATTACTGAGGACAATAAAGGCGGCTTTTCCAAGTTACACTTTCGAGCCTAGTGCAATACGGTGTACTTGCGAATCCGGACTTTCTACGGATATGGAAGAAGCGCAATGCGCTTGGTCCCAAATCTACGAACTGCTACAAGAACCCCATACGGACGACGCGCCCGCTTCTATTCAGGCAGCTCTTTTGCGCTTTTTGAGGATCTCCCAAAATGTGATGAGCAGCACCGCCGGAAATTACGATGTCCAAAGGCTCTATCTAGGGATTTCTGTCGCAGGCGTTGCTGTTCTGCTTTCTTTCCCTGCGACATACAGATTGCTAGCGAGATCCCATCATCCAGGATCATTTCTATTGTTCAGCATCCTCGGTTATGGCGCTATGATGTTTGCTAGTAGCTATGTGGAGGAAGAGCAACAGTTTTGGTACTGGATCTTCACTGGATGGATATTTTACCTACACATCAAGTCCAACGGACATCAGGGTAAACACGTCACCTCTGATCATAAGCTCAGAGGCCGCCGATTGCTACCTTTATTTTCTGCAGCAGGAACAATCGGGCTCGGAATCACCTATCGAATTCTAAGACGATGGAATCAAACGGGACAGAAGTTTGCCGCTGAGCCGGACATTGCCCGGACTTTTTTCTCTTCCCACCAGGACACCCTCTGGTTCCTGGTTATTCTAACATACGCCAACACCTGCAAGAATCTACTTGTCAGCTCGCCTTCCTCATTGGTATGGCGCCTGGTTAGCCTTTTTGCGACGTTGGCTGCATTTATATTCAAACTTACGTTTGTGGCATCCGACTCTCCTGAACTCCTCAGTGAATCTTTCCTGGGCCCCTTGGCAAAGACAGTTGGCCATGTATCGCTGGTGCTACAGGCGAGGATTGTTTTCTGTGGAGCTGCCTTGATGGTGCTATATGCGATGGTCACTAGGAGTGGCACATTACGAGTTTCCGATAAACATAAAGGCAAGTCATAAAGTCTGTTTCTCTGGCAATCCACTAACCGAGATTATCAGCGTCAAATGCCATGTTCCATGAGGCACTCACGCTTTTCTTGATCACGCAATCGAGAGCGACAAACGTTCCGCTCTTCTTAATATTCAGAATACAATTCTACATCCTCGCTTCGATGGAGATTGCTGGAATCGAAGCCAGCATTACGTCCATACTTTCGCAGTACATGACCTTCTTTGCGTTCGGTGGCTCGAATGCCATTTCCTCGGTCGACCTTTCCAGCGCATATAACGGGATTGACAGTTATAGTGTCATACTCGTGGGACTATTGACGTTCGTGGGTAACTGGGCAGGCCCGATATGGTGGGTTTCAGCGACTCGTCTTCTCCGTACGAGCCGAACTTGGTCAGAAAAACAGGGCCATGTCTCGCTTTTGACATTTCATGCCACAACAGCGTTACTGTCTGTGATGGCTGCATGCGCAGCGTTGAGGACTCATCTCTTCATCTGGACAGTATTCTCACCAAAGTTTCTATATACGATGGCGTGGGCTACACTCAATCATATTGTTATTAACGTATTAGGGGAGATAGATCTCCTGGCGCGTTAATGAATTATCTAATAGAATCAAAATCCTGGTCTTCCAGTCCAGTCGTTGTGGCAAGTCTTGGATACCACATTACAAACATTAGGGGTGGAATTATGTATATTCTTCGTATGTCTATAATACGCCGGCAAAAAGGTCGTCAATAGCGTTCTTCTTCCGTTTCTTTTTCTTGGGCTCCTCGGTTTCCACCGTCCGAGCTTTCTTGACGGTGTCGTGAGGACGAGTAACTGGCGCAGGTGAATTACGGGCTTCTGAGGTTTTGGCCCGCCTCGGTATATCTTCGGCTCGATGAACAAGCTCTCCCACATCCTCTTTCTTGGGAGGAGCCTTAGTGTTGGGGCGAGAGATCCTGCTTTCTTTTCTCTCTGCTTGGGACAAATGCTTCAAGTCACGGTCAATCCCCGTGACCTTGGTAAGACGGGCAAGTGTAGCCAGCAACACTGTTCCAAGTGTTGAGAATTGCCCATCGGCTACCACAGTTGAGAATGCCCTGTGAGAAGAATTAGCACATGTTCATTGTTAGGACAGCCTACGCGGCGTGATTCTCCACTTACAGATAACATCTGGGCACAACATGTATTGCCAGATACCGCTTGTGCGATTCAATAGGGGAATCAGCTCCGCCATATGGCAGTAAAAGTTTCTGGTCGAGGGATCTCGCCAAGTTCAGAGTTATACGTTTGAGGATGGATAGCCACTTCCACCATTTTGTTTTCCCGTGCTGGTTTTTGTTGCGATGATAAATCAAATGAAGCATTGAATGCACAGCAAAAATCTCTTCGGTCTCCATTATCAGGGCTCCTGGTTTGTAGCCTTATGACTTGATGTCTATAGCCGTATCAAGCTCGTCTGAAAAATGAGGCTCAGTGCCTTAGGCAGAAGAAACTATCTCCTAAAAAAATCCGTTCACCCCCCTGTTCCGGTGAGAAAATGATGGCCCACAAAAACCTATGACAAAGGATAGTTCTTCTTACCATTCAAAGTTTGGAATTGCATGGTCGGAGATGCTGCAAAGGAGCGTTCTCGCCCATTATTCGAGACGGATGAAAGTGCTTGTCCTGTAGTCACGTGCTTTACACGTGATATAATAGCCCTCAAAAGCGACATCAAGTCTATAAACACACATCACAGCGCCAAAATCGCGACCATCTGCTCGCGATTTCCCAGCCAGCCACCGATCTCAGACACTGCTACCACCAATTCTATATCCGACGTCAATATGGGGGAAGCCCCGGGCGCCCACGAGACTCCGACCGCTTCCCCCCGTGAGCCCACCACCCCGAAGCGACCGCCCAAACGACCGAGACCAGAGACACCGGGAAAGGATATACAGGCCCCCCCCTACGCTCAAGAACTGGCAGCCCGACCGGGATACGCCCCCTGCATCCCCCTCCTACGAAGCTCCCCAAAGCCATTTAGGCTTGGAACTCCAAAGCCACATCGCAGCGGCAGTGGCTTCACGCACAGCACAGCTAAAGACTACAGGAGATGAAGTCTTGGGGCTTGTCAATATGATTAGCCAGAAAGTCGCTGACTGGGAAGGGAAGAGCCTACAAGGAGCTGCCTCCTTGGGCAAGGATATCAGGACCCTGGTCCTCAACTTCAGCAGGAACCTGGCAACAAGTAACCCCACCAAAGAGGAAGAGAGACACTGACCCTCTCCACCCACAAACAATAGCTATGCTGGAGCTACAAAAACCTCACCCAATGCCACCAAGACACAACCCAAACAACCCAAGGCCCCATACAAGTCACCACTACCAGAGAAGCCTCCTCGCATCTTCCTCTGCCTTCCCAAAGACCACCCAGCCCGCCAAGCTAGCCCTTTCACTACTATGGATAAACTGAGGAAGCATTTGGACAAGACCTGTTCTGCAGCTGTGAAAGAGGTCCAACAGGTGCCCTCGGGCCTGGCAATCTGGCCTAAAGATGGCCTGAGTTTCCAGCTTCTCATGGAACGCAAGGAGGCGCTGGAGGTCCTCCTACAAGGAGCCAAGGCTGAAGTTGAACAGAACTGGGCCATATTCACCCTTCCAAATGCCCCACAAGAGTATACTAGCTATGACAGGGCCCAAATGCCCATAACTGAACATATGGCCCTGGAAGAGTTCAAGCTCCAGACAGGCCTCTCCCCTCTGAAGTTCTACTGATCAAGCAAGAACCCGCTTTCAGGCACCCTCATCATGGCTGTCCCAGAGACCCAGGCCCAGATAGTCCCTAGGTGGTTCCACCTCTTTGGCAAGAATGTATAGATTAAACAGAAGCCCTTTCAAACTTGTATAGAGCAGTGCACACAGTGCTGGGACTACCATAACCCCCAGACCTGCACCCACACTCCCAGATGCCGCATCTGCAGCAAGAGAGACCACACTGAAGAGACCCATCCCTCTCCCAATGAGAATGAAACCCCAGACCCATGCTGTACCAACTGCTGCGGACCTCTCCCAGCAGACCATTCAAACTGCCCCACCAGACCTACCATACAACAGGGAGTCATCCAGCAACTATCCAAATCACAACTCATTGCAGTCAGAAAAACAGGTGCATGCCAACATATGCTCCAAGACCAGACTGCTACAAATGAGTCCCCCAGAAACTTGGGCTGCTCACTGGCAAGAGAACAGCCTCATTCATGTTAGATAGGCTATCTCATCTACAGATCCTCCAACTCAATGTCAGCTGTAATGGGGAAGCGCATGAAACCATGCTTCAACTGGCTTTCAAAAACAACTGTCATGCAGTGCTAATTCAGGAGCCCTGGATCTTTACAGACTGCTCCCGTCAAATATCTAAACACCATCCATCCTTTCACCAACTTGCCCTGATTGAAGACTGGTCAGCTAGACCCCAACTCCTTGTGACGGTCCCGAGCAATATGAGTATATTGGTAGATTATCTGACAAAATTCTAACATGAGGAGAGAAAAGGAAAGAGGCAGGCCTGCCGGCGACGAGCTATCTAATGTGTG